AGAGAACGGTCCTTCAAAGTAGGAGACCAAGTCATGGTCTTAAAGGCACTCCAGGCCCATAAAATGGAAGCATTGTGGGAAGGACCATTCATGGTCCAGGAGTGCCTAGGAGCTGTTAACTATCTCATAGCATCCCCCACCTCCAACATAAAGCCTAAGCATGGACGCATGTCCCCTGGAATGGTGGTTGAAGCATGAAGGGACATATGAACCTTTAGCACATCTGCCATGTAAATATTTTACAACACTGGCTACAACAGTGACATGAGAATCCCTGTTTTCACTTTCAGGTGACATTGCAAACAAGAACCAGGCAGTATTATCTCCTGCAAATGTAAACTAACTTGTTTGTGAGAGCGATTGGCTGAACAAGAAGTAGGTCTGAGTGGACTTGCAGGCTCTAAAATTTTACATTGTTTTATTTTTTAACTCAGTTTTTTGTACATAATTCTACATTTTGAAGCTCAATGTTAATGATAAAGAGATTGCATTACAGTACTTGTATTAGGTGAATTGAAAAATACAATTTCTTTTGGGTTTTTTTACAGCGCAAATACTTGTAATAAAAGTAAATATAAAATGAGCACTGTACACTTTGTAGTCTGTGTTTTAATTGAAATCAATATATTTTAAAATGGAGAAAACATCAAAAATGTTTAAATAAACGCTATTCTATTATTGTTTAACAGTGCGATTAATCGTGATTATTTTTTTTAACCACGTGATTAATCTCAATTATTTTTTTTTAATTGCTTGACAGCCCTAGTTCCCAGTCTCAACCCATGGCAGGCACGGACTGGGGAAACCAAACTGCCATCACAAAATTCATCCTCCTGGGATTCGGGAATCTCCCTGACCTGCAAATTCTTCTCTTCCTGATGTTCCTAGTGATTTGCATCGCAACTGTGGCTGGGAACACCCTCATCATTGTGCTGGTTGTAGCTGATCAGCACCTGCACACCCCCATGTACTTCTTCCTGGGGAACTTGTCCTGGTTGGAGATCTGCTACAGCTCCACTATCCTGCCCAGGATGCTGGCCAGTCTCCTGACTGGGGACAGAACCATTTCTGTCAGTGGCTGCATCACACAACTGTACTTCTTTGGTCTTCTGGCATCCTCAGAATGCTATCTGCTAGCAGCCATGTCTTATGATCGGTATTTAGCAATATGTAAACCCTTGCATTATTCAACTCTTATGAATACCAGGTTTTGCCTCCATTTGGTTGCTGGGTCCTGGTTAAATGGTTGTTTGGCTACTACCATGTTGGTATTATTCATGTCACAGTTCATATTCTGTGGCCCAAATGAAATTGACCATTTCTATTGTGAATCCCTCCCATTGATAATACTCACCTGTGGGGACACACACCTGATCGTATTGCTGGATTTCCTATTTGCCTGTGTATTCACTCTGCCTCCATTTCTACTAACCCTGATGTCCTATATTTGTATCATCGCTGCGATCCTGAGAATCCCTTCCAGCACCGGAAGGCAAAAGGCATTTTCCACCTGCTCCTCCCACCTCATTGTGGTGACATTTTTCTATGGAACAATAATGATTGTGTACATGCTCCTCAACCGTGATACACTGAGCAACCTGAACAAAGTGCTCTCTCTTTGCTACACAGTCCTGACTCCCCTGCTTAACCCCCTCATCTACAGCCTGAGAAACAGAGAGGTCAGGGAAGCCTTGAGCAAAGCCGTCAGTAAATATGGCTTTCACAAAGAATTGCAGAGAATCCTAGATAATAACTAAGGCTGAGGTTTTCAAAGCTGCCTGAATGATTTAGGCAAACATCCCCCATTGAAATTACATTGAAAACTCCCATTGAACATGTCAGTGTGTGGCACTTTGTACTTCAAAATGGTACCCTGCAGCCCCCATATTCATCATTCATATGTGTTTGTGATATTTCATACAAAGCATGCAATGTAAGATATCATATAAAAGGTCATGATCTGCTGAAACCCATTGTTCTATCCAAATATGTGTATCATTAGTTTGTATAGCGATTGAGTATGGTTGTTACTGAAATGTGCTGTTTGCTAGTTACATACAAAGGATCCCTGCCCAGATGGGTGTTGACCATCCATTAATCAATTGTGTGACTAAACTATGAAAGGCCCAAAGAATGGGAATTGCTTGATCACTGTGACTTGGGGACTGCTTGTTCACTGTGACTCAGCAAAGGCCACAAGGACATGCCTAGGCTAGAGTCTGCCAGGCACATGGGCCAAGGGTTTAAAACAAGGGTCAATAGCATCATGTCTTGGCCTTTCTCCTCCCCCACCTATGCTGGAAACAACTGGGCGACGAGGAGACAAAACTCATTTGAGGAAACTGGTCTAGGCTTCAGGGGGAAGTCTGTGCATTAAGGACTGTAACATCCAGTGGGGTGAGAACACTGCTTGATCTAAATACTGCCTAGTGGAATAAGGTTTAAGATTTAGCCTGTGCACTTTTTTTTATTTTCTGTGTAACTATCTCTGACCTTTTATGCCTACCACTTATAATCACTTAAAATCTATCTTTCTATAGTTAATAAACCTATTTTATATTTTACCTAAAACAGTGTATTTTGTTTGAAGTTCAAAAGAACTTTCAGCTCTGTTAAAAAGGATTGTTGTGTCCTCTCCATATTGAGGAAGGGGTAGACATGGTTATAAACTCACACTGGTCAGCTTCTGACCAGGGCAGGATGCGGTAAAGCTGAACAGGGGTGCAAGGTTGGGGAGCTGGTGGGAATGGGCTGGTGCCTTTTTCTGTGTGATTCATGAGAGGTTTTGGGTGCCTTCATGCAATCTATCTGGGTGTGGGGCTCCTCCTGCTGTTGTGCTGAGTGATAACAGCTCTGGGAGGGGGTTGCTGTTTGTCACTATCAAAGCAGTGTGAGATACAGCCCAGGATGGACAGTTAAGGGGGCACAGTGGTACCCCAGTTCCTGGTTGTACCCCGGGGAACCCCGTCACACAGTGCTAATGTGAAAAACTAATGGAGATGATCTGCATGGAGTTACTGAGGCAGAATATTTATGATCCCAGACTGTGTCCATGTAAAACAATGAAGAGGAACATGAGGTTGTGGACAGTTCTAGCAACCTCTCATATTCAGCTCTGATATGTACAGGATGATGGTATTTTTCCCGATGGTGTTGGCAAAACATTCACCCTGGGTGAGGAGGGTGTATAGCGTCTGATACTGTTGTAGAGCTGAAATGTTGTGTATGGCACAAACTCCACTAAATATCAAAGCAAATCCCTGTGTACATCCCCTGTTGATCATTGTTTCTCTGTGTTAGACAATAAAATCTGGTAATCTAATTCCAACAGCTTAGTACAAACAAAGACCTTGTTACTTCTAATAGTTTCTTAGGCCCCCAAGGATAATATGGAGAATCTAGCCGGAGCTCAGGTCAGGGTTGTCCGTCAGGAAGGTGTCCATAACCATGTTCCCACCATGGAGTTTTTAACTGGGCCCCGGGCGGAGTGCAGACATTTTTTTCACCAATTATTTCCCCATAAATAGCCATTTTTGATCAAAATAAATGTTTGGGTGATGAAAATACAAACTCTTGGTGCAGCATGTGGGGATGTCAGCCTGGGAAATCTGCCACCCCTTAAATGGCAGATTTAATTATATCCACCTGCAAACTATATCTACCTGCAAACCAGCCACCTCCATTGAAATCCCACAGGCCAGATGCAAACAGCTGAACCCCAGCAGTGACCTCTGGACACTTCACCAGGAACAGCTTAATAGCTCTTATCTGGGCTAAGCCTGGCTGTGACCAGCTCTGGCAAAGCAACAGCACCCGGCTCACCGGGCCCATGGGTGCAGGTAGGTTGGGAAAAGACAAAGAAGCAGACTCAGAGCCCAAGTCAGTGGGGACAGTCCTGACCCAGCTGGGGGTTTGCCAGGGCGCTAGGATATGTGCACACATAGAAGTGAGGTTGGTCCTGAGGCTCGGCCTGTCTAATGGCCACTGAGAAGGGACTCAGCATGTGGCATTGCAGGACAGTAGCCACTCTGCTGCTACCAGGTGCACAGAGCAGTTCAAAGGCAGGGAGCTGCTTAGGGTTGCCAGTTTTGGTTGGATGTATTCCTGGGGATTTAATCAGATGACATTTTTGTGACATTCTGTAATTGGGGGAGCACCCTGTAACCCCCATATTCCTCATTTATATATGATTGTGAACTTGCATATAAAGCAGGCCATGTTAGGGATCAGAGGAAAGGTTATAATCTGCTGAAAGTCATTTTTCTATCCATATATGTATATCATTAATGCATATGAAGTTATGAGAATTGTTTTGTATGTTTGTAACTAAAACATGCTATAAGTTGAGGAATCAGCCAGATATTAGTTCCCCTGAGACAACAGCAAGGAAAGTAACCAATGTCTGGGCGTAGTGTCAAACAACCCATCAGCAGCCACTGTCCAGCAAGGGAGCTACAATTCAATGATTCACCTGCATGAGGCCTTGCCTGGAGACTCAGTAATGCCCACCAGACATGCCTGGACTTGTGTTCTATAAGCATATGGGACTGAGGGTATAAAACAGAACACTGGGACCGCATTCTGGCCCCCAACTATGCTGCAAGCAACAAGGACACTGAAGACTTGAGACTCCAGCTGAGGGGACTGGCCCAGATTTAAGGGAGAAATCTGTGTACTATGAACTTTAATATCCAGTGGGGGTGACAAAAACTGCTTAGTCTAGATGTTTCCCAGTCTAATAGGCAGAGGTGAAAGTAAGCCAGTACAGCATACTGGTAAGAAAGTGCTGACTGTACTGGCTGGGCCGCTGATGGGGGGGGGGAGCAAAAATGGCAGCTTCCCCAGGCTCTGGTGGTGATTTAAAGGGCCTGGGGCTCCTGACCACCGCTGCCTACCATGCAGGGGCAGGAGCCCGGGCCTTTAAAATTTCTGCCTGAGCCCTGAGGTTCCCGGCCAATGCCACTGCTACCCCGGGGCTCTGGTGGTGATTTAAAGGGCTCAGAAGTCCTGGCTGCTGCTGCCTACCACGCCAGCCTCCAGAGCCCTGGATAGCATGGGACGGGCAGTGCTGAAGGACTGGCTGGGGCATTTTAGCCTGAGGCAGTGCCCCTTCCCCCAGGCCCCACCCCTTCCCCAGGGGCCCAGAGCCACTCCCCGACCTTGCCCAGGACCTCGGCTGCCCTGTGTCATTTAAGTTACTTTCACCCCTGCTAATAGGGTTGAGAGTTTAGACTGTGTGCTTTGTGACAAAGTTCCTTCTCTATCTTGGTGGGTCCTGCGCTTATTGGCGGATTTTCTTGCCTCAGAGATTCACCATGTGGGTTGGGGAACAGCCCAGAGGCCTTCCCCTCTGGAAGAACCCACAGTCCAAGTCAATTGGGAGGTTTGGGGGGAACCCGGGCCCACCCTCTACTCCGGGCTCCAGCCCAGGGCCCTGTGGACTGCAGCTGTCTATAGTGCCTCCTGTAACAGCTGCATGACAGCTACAACTCCCTGGGCTACTTCCCCATGGCCTCCTCCAAACACCTTCCTTATTCTCACCACAGGATCTTCCTCCTGGTGTCTGATAATGCTTGTGCTCCTCAATCCTCCAGCAGCACACCCTCTCACTATCAGCTCCTTGCACCTCTTGCTCCCAGCTCCTCACACTCTCACCACAAACGGAAGTGAGCTCCTTTTAAAACCCAGGTGCCCTGATTAGCCTGCCTTAATTGATTCTAGTAGGTTCTTCTTAATTGGCTCCAGGTGTCCTAATTAGCCTGCCTGCCTTAACTGGTTCTAGCAGGTTCCTGATTACTCTAGTGCAGCCCCTGCTCTGGTCACTCAGGGAACAGAAAACTACTCATCCAGTGACCAGTATATTTGCCCTCTACCAGACTCCTGTACCCCACTGGTCTGGGTCTGTCACAGCTTATATTTTATTTTATTTTGGTAACTAACTGACTTTTTGCCTATCACTTATAATCACTTAAAATCTATCTTTTGTATCCAATACATTTGATTTCCTGTTTATCTTTATTAGTGAATTTGTATGAATTGTGTGGCAAAACTCCTCAGGTTTGTAAAGGCTGGTGTACACTCACTTTCCATTGATGGAGTGGTGAACCAATTAATACATTTGCACTGCCCATCTTGAGCAGTGCAAGACACTATATTCCTGAGGTACAGTGCTGGGAGCTGGGGGAATTTGGCTGGCACCTTTTCCTGTGTGATTCATGAGTGGCTCTGGGAGCATTTGTGCAATCTAGCTGGGTGTTAGGTCTACACATGCAGTTGTGCGGAGTGATCACAGCACATGGAGGGGCTTGCTGCTTGTCACTAGCATGGCGTTGTGAGAGACAACCCAGGCTGGAGAGACTTAAGGGAGCACAGCAGTCCCACAGTCCCAGGCTGCACACCAGGGATCCCATCTTTATATAAGTCTTTTTATATATCTCTGTTGGTTTGGGCAGTCAATGTGATATTTGGCTCTACAAACAGGGTAAACTTGAGTAGAAGTAGGGAGGTTATTTTGCTTCTGTACTTGGTGCAGGTGCAACCACTGCTGGAATCCTGTGTCCAGTTCTGGTGCCCACAGTTCGCGAAGGATGTTGATAAATTCAGAGGATTCAGTGATGAGCCACAAGGATGATTAAATGATTAGAAAATATGCCCATTAGTGATAGATTCAAGCAGCTCAATCTGTTTAGCTTAACAAGGAGCAGGTTAAGAGGTGAATAGAACACAGTCTATAAGTACCTATGTGGGGAACAAAAAT